AAAAAAAGAAAATTAAGTTAAACATGGACAAAAATGCGAATGCATCAAAAACCATGTCTACAAATAAAGGCAATAAAAAAAAAAATGAAATATTTAAACAAAAAAAAAATAATAATATTACAAACATCACGGACGGTATTGGAACACATCCGTTAATGTTAATCGGAAATTAATGAAAAACACCAGGAGCGGTCTGGACACTCGCTCCTTAGCGTTGGCTAGAAGANGGACACTCGCTCCTTAGCGTTGGCTAGAAGAAAAGGGAAACAAATGCTCTCCACACATAAACAAAATTAAGTTAATTTACGATAAAATAAAAATGAAATAAAATAATTAATAAAATATAGCTCATTACATAAATATAATATAAAAAAGAAAACGATACCCGGTCTCCGAAGAGATCCGATGGTCTGGATGCTTCGTCGAAAAGACCTGGCCGTTCGCCGTTGGCGGCTCTACTCCATCATTATAAAAAAAGTGTCAATAAAACAACAAATATGTGCACCCTAGCACGGTCAATGACAGAAAAGAATAGAGAAGAGTCAACACCGATCTAACGGCAATTTCAAATCGATAACGGCCAGTCTTTTTGGAAGGGATCAATACTGATAAACAATTCGATTTTAATTATATTTCTCTTTTATCGCCTTATCTAGCGGTCAGCGGCAAAATAATGAGTGGTTGACACCGCTGTGTCAGAAAAAGGTTCTTTCGCGCGATAAAATAAATAAGTAGACATAACAAAAAATCATAAACGGTCCACCTTCGAATTTGTGACGTTACAGGGTAGCAACGAAGATACTTGCATAGTCCAACGACTATGACAAGCTTGCTATAGTTGTTGATGAGTAAAACAATGTATATAAAAAGTGTGAGAACATAGTACTTTAAATGAATAACAATTTATTTGCATAAAAACATGGTATTATATTTAGTTTTTTTACAATTCATCAAATTATTACTATAATCAATAATTTACATTTTATTTAAAATGTATTAATTGTATGAATACAAAAGAATATTACAAAATAATTGTACTTTTTTTGACAAAAATGTTACATATGAATGTGTTAAAGCTTTCATGGATTATCTTGTTGCTTGAAGTGTTTGAGGGTATATCCATGTTTGCAGTAGATTTCTGACGTTTCGGCCTCATTGCAGAGTCCATCTGCGGAGTGATGGACTCTGCAATTAGTCAGAAACATCAGAAATCTACTGCAAACATGGATATATCCTCAAGCACTTCAAGAAAAAATGTTACATGTTATAATTCATCCATTTTTTTAAGCAAATTGCCTTGTATAAACTACAGACGGTCGGGTTGTTCATATGTCGGATACAACATGGTTTTGTAACACAACTTAAATTATACTGCGGGGGACAACTCGAATCCTCTACGTTGAATACACGTTGTCCCGATATGTATTTTTCCACTACTCGCTTTCTTACAGCTTCCTATACGTAAATATACTTGCACAGTAACAGTTTTCTGATTCTCGGCAACTCGTTGTATTCATCGTCTCCGTAACGAGTATACATTCCATGAAGATATTTATTCAACCAAAAAATTGTTATAGCTTCTTTAGTTAAATCATGCGTAATCGAACGGTTTAACCTTACAGTTAAAGAACGCATGTGGAAAAAATTTACACCGTCGAGATCTAATCAATGGTTGACAATATTAAATAAAATAAAAAATGATTATAACAATACTATATGTTGTGTTTTTAATATGAAAGACACATCAAATGAGTCTTTATTGAGAAACAATATTATGGTGTGTGAGTGCCGGTGATAGCACTTGCGAGTAGTGGACAATTCCCACTACTAATTTATATAATATATATCGATACGTAACACCTCTTTCCTTATAAAATTATAATACACTTATATTTTAAATAATTACAAACATATAAATAAATATTGAAATTTGATGAGAGAGTAAGATTTAGCTTATAGTTTACCGCTTATAACCAGATAAAATGTTCATTCATATAGACAAAGATGTTTACATAGTGTAAAATTACTTGTTATTATTTGTAGTCGGATGGAGAGAAACTCTGAATAGGTTTTTTAATTCTAACAGGTCGGGGAGATTTATTGCAGAGCGGTACTGTTGATTCTGTGTGGTCATTGTTGTCTAATCATTCTGTATACATATAGTTATGATTGTATTACACGTTTTATTTTTAAATTATTCATACTAGTTAAAATTAACGATATTTGCTACTGTAAGAACATTTATTACTATGTTCTTACCACTTATATTACACACGTTTTATTTCTATTTATTTAATTCGTAATACATATTAATTAGCATAGAGGGAGATGCTGATGTGACAATTCTACTCGTCTGTAGTCCGGAGCTACTGACGTCGAACTAACAAAGGGCAGTTGTGTTTGAGTGGCCGTTATAGACATAGTTTTCAATATTATTACTTTCATCTTATTTATATTATTTATAACTTAACTTGTTTTATTCATCGACCCGTCTATCGCCAATTATCATCATAGCCAACCAACTCCGTCTCACTTGGATATCCCTACTAACCAACTGTACTAGGATTCAGGTCAGACGTATTGTACATTACATATAAATTATATTTACTAAATATCTAAAATATAACTTTACTTTGTCATTGACATAAAACAATAGTCTAATTTTATTTAATAATCTATCCTCTGTAACTAAAGTGCACGATTGCCTGTATCTCCTTCAGGCAATTAAAACTCATTTAAGGAGATAGGGACGATATTTGGGCAGACGTCGGGTAACTTCCGATTCTTGGTTTTGACCAAGATCCTCAACTATTAAACAAGCTCCTAACACTACAAGAAAATATTAAATTTTATTTAATTAAACTATTTATTCGAACTTTAAAAAATATATTGCAAAACTTATTCTATTATCATGACGTTTAGTTCAACATAACTTAAGTATTCTTAAAATTTTATGCATTTTAGTAACTATTTATCTAAACACATATATTTTTATATAATTGAATATTAATAATGTATATAAACATTTTATTCAACAATTGATTAATGATTTTATGTTTTAAATAAAAATGACTTTACAACACATTCTAACAATATAGCTTATACTATAAATTACTTATGTTAATATAGATCACATTGCTATTAATAATAATAACAATGCTGTGTACCTGTTAATATCGATGTCATAAAAAATCAATTAGCTACCTGTATTTGTAATCCCTTGTGTATTATACCTTTATATTAACTCAAAATTTTGAAACTTTAAATGATTATATCTAATAATCGAATTAAGTTATATTAAAAATTCAAATGCCATTTATTATTAAATTAAAAACTCAAACATTTTATTAAATTAAAAATATGTGTTACTATTTAAAAAAACAAAGTTGACCCCTTTACAAGGCATAAGGGATGAACTTAAAAAGTATTACATAGTTAATAATTCAAGAATAATGTGTAACTAAAGATAATAATAAAAAAAGAATGTTTAAATTATTATTATTCTATAAGTAATTGAGTGAGTTATGATAAAAAAATCATTCTGTAGATCGTCGACGTATTACGTCTGACCGACCGCCGTGTTATTCAATACCGCCGTTAATTTTTAAATACATATTATCTTATTCTTTTTGTTTTGTGATTATTTTTCTAAAGAAAAACCAATATATGGCTTCACGCCACTTTGTCGTAAAAAAAAACGCCGTGTCATACTTTATTTTTTGTGTTCTACGACGTTAGTCGCAACATATTTATAAATAAACAGTATAAATATCATTTCGAAGAATGGATAAAAATTGTGTTAACACGTGTTTAAATAATTATCGTAAAATGTTTACTTTAAGTCAAAATTTTTAGGAA